AAGGCCCAGCCCAAGTCAAGCTAAATGGGACTCTGGAACTGTGATGCAAGAAGCAGATAAATGGCTGGCAACACACAGGCAAAGGAATGCGCTAGAGTCACGCCTGGCAGCAGCTCCCCAGCCTTTGTTCCTGAAAGAGGTAGTGGCCCTTGCCTATGTGATAAATACTTCATACGTCAGGTACTACCCAAGGTACAGACGCTAGGGTAATGTTCAGCATTGCCCAAGTGGAAAAGGAATGCAGTAGGCAAGATACGTTCAGGACAGAAAACACCCCGGAGGCAGGGAAGCACAACAGGAAACCACGCCCAACAAACCAGCACCCACTGAGCACCTACGTGTCCAGGGCACTCACCCACAGCGACTCGAGCCTGAAGGCATGTTTCTGTCTGCTCAGGGACCTGCAGTCTAGTGGAAGGCAGACATAGTAAGACTCAACATGAGCCATGTGTGGATATTGACAAGATATTAACCAAGGAGACAGGGACAACCAATATAGGCTGCAGAGTCAAGGAAGGGTGATCAATAGGATGAGAAGAAGGTTACCTCGTGTGGCGTGGTGTAAGGAGGATGACATCCCAGTAGGGAATTAAGAGGGAAGCACACGACGAGGCACTTTCTGGGAACTGCAAGGGGTTTGCTAGAGTGAACACTGAAGGGAGAATGTGGCAGATATGAAGTTGGAGAGATGGGCGAGGGTCAGCACATGAAGAAAGCCTCATGGACAACCTTGACAAGTTCTAGCCAGTATCTAACAACAGCAGTTCCACAGGGTCAGCTTGAGCTGAGGGAAGAAAAAAGTATTCCTTGAATTAAGCAACAGCTCTCTTCTCTGCGTCTGCTTATTTGACTTTAGGACTGAGCCTCCAGCGCACATACATGTGTGTACATCAGATACAGCAACTTATAACAAGTGGAAACAGCTGTGTCCAGCACCTGAAATATTAAATTTAGCATGACTGAGCTTCAGCACAATGCTCCACCACCGCATTAAACAATTAACTGACTCATATACTTACTGTTACATAAATTATCCTAAAACACAGTAGAGCTACTTAAATGTTTAACACATAGAAATGGGGTCTTCCCTGTTGCCCAGGCTGGTCTAGAACTCCTGGACTCAAGTGATCCTCCCACCTCAGCTTCCCAAAGTGTTGGGATTACAGGCGTGAGCCACCTTCCCGGCCTTTAGAGCCACTTAAAAGGTAAAAATCAGCCATCATACCCACCATTTTTTTTCTGAGCAAAACGCAATATTCAAATTTAAATCTCCAAAATGTTCACAGAACATAAAATATTCTTAAAAAGGAAAAAAAAAAGTGCTGCAAATCTGCCTTTTGTCAAAATAAAACTTTCACATGACATTTGGCAGTCTGTCACTATTTCTTGTTACTTATCTTCAAACTTGTTTTAAAGTTTCATTTTAAATCAATACTTTAACATTTTTGGGGAGGGGGACAGAGCCTCCTGATTAGCTGGGATTACAAGCATGAGCCACTGCGACTGGCTAATTTTTGTACATTGTGGTAGTTTTAGTAGAGATGGGGTTTCACCACATTCGCCAGGCTGGTCCCCAACTCCTGACCTCAGGTGATCTGCCCTCCTCAGCCTCCCAAAGTGCTGGGATTACAGGCGTGGGCCACCGCACCCAGCAAATACTCTAACATCTTCATAGTCTTTTCTTTCAAATATTCTGTTGCCTTGACCCTTTTTTTTTTTTGCCTTGACCCTTAATCCAAAGCTCAAGAGGCCTGGAGAAGAATTTCTCCTTTCATGAAAGTTTCTGACACCCTCCCTTGTTTTCACTTTTCCTTCAACACGTACTAAATACTGATTGCAAAATATTCTCCAGATGACGCCTTTGGACTAGTTTCAAAAGGTCTCCACATGGAATTGGTTTTAACTCCTTGTAGGGGCAGCATCATCTTTTTATCTAAGTGATGCTGATACTAGTGATGATATAAAAGAAGGGCTGGTGAAGGAAGCATTGCCCCAGTTTCCACTGCAGTCTGTTGACTAAAAGCACTTGCTATTTCTCTTTACCACAAGGATCTGTAAAGTAAACCAAAGTCTGGGAAAATAACTATAGGATCAATGAACACAGAATGTGCCCATTAAGATGCCATATGGCTGGGAGCAGGGCCTCACACCTGAAATCCCAGCACTTTGGGAAGCCAAGGCAGGCAGATCACTTGTGGTCAGGAGTTCGAGACCAGCCTGGCTAACACGGTAAAACCCCGTTTCTACTAAATATACAAAAACCTAGCTGGGCATGGTGGTGGGCGCCTGTAATCCCAGCTACTCAGGAGGCTGAGGCAGGAGAATCACTTGAACCCGGGAGGGAGAGGTTGCAGTGAGCCGAGATTGTACCACATCTCTCCAGCTTGGGCAACAAGAGCAAAACTCTGTCTCAGGAAAAAAAAAAAAAGTGCCATATAACAAAACTGGCGACAACTCTATTATTTCGACATTTGTGGAAGCTGGTGTTATTTAAACCATTCTTTCTAATTTTGTTTTTAAAAACTTAATCATTCACAATGAATGGCCAAAAATAGTCTCCAAGAACTACGAATACAGGGCATGTCCCACTCCTGAAGTCACATCCTGACGAGCAGCAGCTACTCAAGGGGCATCTAGATAAACATACTCATGAGTTTAATACCACAACCACAGACTGCTTTGGGTCAAGCAATGCCCAATACAATCAAATTCTAATCTAAGCCCAGTTTCTTGGAGTTGATCTTAACATAAGTTCAGTTATGGAATGGCTGGATGACAGTAGAACTCTCTTCCACACAAAAGGGAAAACCTCAGACATTCATTAGAAAGACTACCCTCTATCTATACATAATGCCTCTTCTGTTGAAGTTGTCATGCTAGGTGACAGCCTGCTGGTGGGAAAGAAACTCACCATTCATTTCAATTCAACTCAGCAGAGATTCAGAGTGTCACCAGGGGTAACTTCACACTCCTCGGTGACATCAACATATACAACAGTTGGAGAAATAAGTCAAAGTCAAAGGTTGCTAAATCTGACATCCTAGAATAAAAGTGATTCTAACCAGGCAAAAATCCACAAGATACTAATAATTTGGGGGAACGGGCTGGGTTCGTGCCTGTAATCCCAGGAGTCTGGGAGGTTGAGTCAGGTGGGTGTATGTTTGAGCTCATGAGTTCGAGACCACCCTGGGCAAAATAGCAAGACTCCATCTCTATTTAAATTGCGAAACATTTTCAGGAAAATGAATTCACTCTATCAAATAATAATAAATAACAATATGCTCAGGGGGAAAGAACAATTTATTGGTAAAAATAGAAAATATTTGGAAACTATGGTTGGAATTGGACTTTTACTTTAATATGAGTTAAGTCACAAAGGCTTATTTGGAATTCTGCAGTTACTAGCATTACA